ATGAGCTGATCTGACATGTGAACTGCAGACTTCGCTGTAAAGTCTGCTAGCTCATTTCCTTTTATACCCACATGTCCTGGAACCCAACAGTAAAGGATGCCATACCCACGGCTCAATAATTTCAAACTTAAGATGTCAATATTGATAGGGTTTTGAGCATTATAATATGATTCTAAACATTTTAGAGCACTTAACGAGTATGCATAAATTATAAACTGCTTTCAACGTAGCTTAGAAGTAAATGAAAGCGTATAATAAATGGCATTTAATTTTGAGATGAAGACAGAGCAGGCATTATGCAGTCTTTTACCCTCCATGTGCTCTTCAATAACAAAGGATACACCAACATATCCTATTGCTTTTGACCCATCCATAAATATGGGAACTTAAGTAGTGTATTTGCACCTGTGGTTTAAAAAAAAAAAAAAAAAAAAAAAGAGTTGTCTGTATATAAACTCATTTGTATATCTTTTGCCAAAATATTGTAAAACATCAAGCTGAATCTAAGCATCTTCCCACGGTGAGATTTCCAAATGCTTTACTGCCTGAGTACTGAAATGTGACATGTGGTATTTCTCGATTAGTGAGTGAACCCTAACAGAGAAATAAGGCACATAGGATGGTCAGGCTGCAAACAAGAATTTGTAATTGTCCTCAATGAAAGAAACATGATTTGGATGATTACAAAATTATAAAGCATTAAAATAGTAGCAGAGAGACAACTGGTCACATCTTAACTGAAGCGATCGCTCATAGCAGTCAATGTAGAGACTCTGGACAGGAGATGTTCTAAATGCACCAGAGCATTTACACAGAGCCTGGTGATGAACAGGATCTAGTTTTAGTAACACGGAAGGCCATGCAGAACCATAAACAACTGAGCCGTAATCTAGTTTGAAGCATTTAAGTGTTCTATAGATCCTGAGTAATGAAGAACGGTTCGTACACCAGGAGGTGTTCGCCAGGAGTTTTAAAATATTCAGTATCTTGAAACACTTCTTCCTTAGCTACAAGATGTGTGGAAGGAAAGTCAATTTCCAGTCGAACATCACTCCTAAAAATTTTACTTCGTGTTCCACTGGAATCAGTGGATCTTGGAGGTTGCGCTTCCTGAAATAGCGTACATCTGTTTAGAAAAACTAAATCATTCCTTCTTTGAACATTGCTGGATCTTATTAAGAGTGATTTACAGTTGCCTCTCTACATATCTTATGTCTGCATCTTGACAGCATATGTGGAGGTCGTCAACATATAAAGAACCTGAAACCGTAGTAGGAAGTTCTTTTAGAACAGAGTTGATTTTAAGCAGAACAAGGTAACACTTGGTACACAGCTTTGAGGCACACCTTCTTCTTGAGAGAAAATACCTGATACAACAGAGCCAATCCTTGAGAAGTCCTACCCTTAAAAAAATTTTGCAAAAATATAAATTGCTGTGTAATCCACTTGCGTGAAGATCAAGAAAAATCCCATGTCTCCCCGCCTTTTCTATATCAAAATTACAAAGACTAGATGGTTTCTTTTGCTAAATGCTTTACAAATGGGGGTTTCTAATAGAGGCATATTATCAATAGTTGTTTTGCCTTTACAGAAACCACTCTGATATGGTGAAATTACATTGTTCATTTTTAAATAATAGACTAAGCAGCAGTTCACCATTTTTTTCAAAGAGCTTGCAAACACAACTGGTAAGCTTGCAAACACAACTGGGTCTGTAGTTGGTGGGATTCTTCAGATCTTTTCCTGGCTTAGGTATAGGAATGGCAACAGCTTTTTTCCATGCACTGGGGAAGTTATGCTCTTTCCACACCCGATTGTACACAATTAGAAGGGCATTCATTAACTTACAGGATAGATGCTTCAGCATTTTGTAATTAATGCCATCTGGACCAGGCCATGACCTATGTGTCTGTAACAGAGCTCTCCTTAATTCAACCAGAGAAAATTCACAGTTGTAAGGTTCTGAGTTGTCAGGACTGAAGTTAATGGGAATATTTTCAGCACGTTGCTTAGTGGACAGAAATAACTGGGAATAATTATGGTCATCAGAGATGACTGCAAATGTTTCACCAAGAGTATTTGCAATTTCTTCCGTAGTGCTGACTGCTCGTCCATCTTTTTCAAGAATGGAAAGCAAGTGGTCTTAGTATATTCCACATGATTTTCTAACTCTTTCGCATAGTTGTTTACTGGGTGTTATTCCACAAACATACAATACCCAGGAATCTCTCTTACTCTGCCATCATACTTTTCGTGCATTTGCTTTTTTGAAAGCAATGAGATTTGATACAGTGGGATATCTTTGAAAACAACCCAGACTTTTCTCTGCTTTCTCACAGTTTCTTGGCATTCGTGATTCCACCATGGTTTTGATATTTTGGAGGCTTTGGAGTGGTCAAAGGTATAGAGGCTGTAGCTGCCTGGATGATAACATCAGTAATGGCTTTTTACTGGATCCTTGACCGGCACATCATTCACAACTTTTTCTGTTAACTGGGCAAGAGAGGAGAAAAGTTCCCAGTCCGCCCTTTCAAATGTAAAGCATGAGAGCCTTATGACAAAATTCATTCCTTTTCTTGTAAAAATTACCAAAAGTAGGGAAATGACCACTGTTGTCAGGATCATCTCCAACACTAAATGTACATAATGGCAACAGAGATAGTGAACAGATGGCAAGATAAAGAGTGTGAAATGCCTCGGTTGGCTCAAGGAAGTAGGTATCTTGACCATTATTGAGAAGAAAAAGGCAATGACCTTCGATTAACTGCTCAATTTGTCTACCTTGAGGATTTGTATCTCTACTTTCCCAAAGCTGACTATGTCCGTTAAAGTCTCCAGTAATAATAACCAGCTCTGGCAGCTGCTATATCAACTTATCCAGTTTTCTCTGATCGATAGCTTCATTCGGGGGCAGATATAAGGAAACGACAGAAACCAATCCTTTAATATTAGCCTGTATAGCAACCGTTTGAAGGGATGTTGCTAATGGAACTACAATTGATGAATAGTCATGTGAGGTGAGAAGGACTACACTCCCACAGAAGAGTTCACTAATAACAATGCTGTGTGATGCTCATTGATCCCGTTTTTGATATTAAAGAGACTCTGGTGGAAACCACGACAGTTCCACGAAATAAAAGGGGTCATTAGGAATGTTTATTTCACCGATACTGCTTCTTTGTCAAGCGGGGAAGGAGGATTTTTGGAAGCTCAAGTCCTGCTTCAACTTCCATATCATCAAAGTCAGAACTCATATTTTCGAGTGAGCTCTGACTTTGATGATAACTAACTCGAGCGCGACTCCCGGGTTCAGGAGTAGGATTTTTAAATTCATTTAATACATTAGATTTATTTGGTTTGGTGGTATTATTTTCTTGAGTTTTGTTGGTTTCTGCCAACTTGTTCCTTACTATATTAATTTCTATTATTTTCATTTTTGTGGTATTTTATAATTGATTACTTCCCTTCTTACACTATATGTTTAAATTGGTTTTTATTTCAATTGTTTTAAATTGTTTTGCAGCATCACCACAAGAAATATTGAAACGGGGCTGTGTACTACTTATAATTCTCCTAACTTCTGCATATGTGATGTTTTTGGTAAATTCTAGGGACTGTACTTCCTTCTCTGCTTTCCATTTTGGGGCACAAATGAGAAAATGCTGTGTGCTTTCCCTTGCAATTGACACACAGTGGCACAGCATTGCAATTGTCACTGTTTTGGCCCTCCGCATAGCAACGTGCACATGTGGGCTTATCTCAACAGGACATTTTCGAGTGGCCAAACTGCTGGCATTAGAAACATCGCATGGGGTTTGGAATGTACGATCTTATTATGGCAATGAAGATGCCCAACCTATATGCTTTTTATCAGGTGTGTTGAAGGTCAGGATAACATACTTGGTATTTATCAACTGATCCTCTTTACACATCTTGATTAACTTAGCAGCACAGACATTTTGGTCGTAGAGCTCAGTTATAAATTCTTCCTCCAAGACGTCCAGTAGATCAAATTCTGAAATAACTTTGCTACTATAGTTCAGGGTTTTGTAAACTGAGACATTTACATTGGCAGGTTCTAGTTTCTTTAGAGTGAGAAGGGCTGCGGGTTGGCTAGGACATGTAGTTTCAGAAGATCCTACGAGCTAAGCTGTTTGATGTTTTTAGGCTCACCAATACAGGATAAGTTTTTCCATCAAAAGGGTGACAATTTTGAAATTTTGTCTGTTGTGCTTGTCAGAACTACAAAACAAGGCAATGATTTTATTTCTTGTGAATTTGCATTTACACATGTTTTTAAATCTTTCTTTGAAATTGCAATATTTTAAGATGTATTATATTGGGTTGACGTTTCCATATTGAAAAGAGAAATGATTCAGACCCGGCAGCCCCACCCACCCCGGAGTCCAACAAGGGGACGCAGAAACCTGTGCCAGGGTTAACCAGGTCTATGATCTGAAGACCCTACATTCAGCTCTCCCGAAAGCTTATCTCCAGGCTTAAGGACAAATGTCCAGTCAATTGACACTAGCAGGGACAACTAAGTGCCTCTTGTTTCAATCTGAAGCAGAAGCCAAAGCAGTGTGTTGGGGACAGTACCTTGCCCCCAGGACCCTCCTTTCCAGCTTTATGGGTTACAATGCATGGCAAGCGTGCAAGCGCTTTTCTGTCCATGAAAAACTTGAAACAAAGGGATTTGACAGAATCTCACTTCGAACCCTAACCTCTGAAAAGAAATACTAAAAGGATGGAAGAAATGAAAATAGCAGAGAGAAGGAGGGATGAAACGGAAAGGAGGAAAGATCACTAGGGTTCTAAGATCGTAACCTCCGTCTCACCAAGAAAGTAATCCCTTGAAGGGTTAGGGTACCTCGGTATTTCCACATCCGTACTCACAAAAGGGAGCTCCTGAGGGGTCAATAGTACAGAAAAGATACCTATATAGAAGGGAGGAAATTTTTTAGTCATTTGTATATGATTTAGAAAAAAATTATAAGTACCTTAATAAAATATCTCAGGTCTGATGGCAGAAATAATACATGAGGCATGACTGGAAGCCCAGAATACAATTCAAAATGGAGGTAATCAACATTAATATCTTCACTGGGTGGGTACAAAGGATAAAAGCTGAAATAGTAAACAAATAAACACTATTTAGATTCAAAGAAAAAATGTACAACGATTTTCATCATAATTGAACATTAAAATGCTACATACTTTCTTTGAGTTAATAAATGACCACAAAGTCTTCCTAAACGATCAGGTAACTGTGGGCTACAAAAAAAAGAAATTTAGGATTTAAAAATGTTATTCAACAAATAGAGATTCCTATTCATTTAACAAATGGCTTCTTTTTAAACAAGCATTTAAATATTTGGTGCATTAGTATTATTTTAATGTCATCTTTAAATAAAAATACACAATAATAAATATAGGAAAGGGAAAAGACAACCGAGAAATACATATACAGTCAAAAGTCTTTAATCCGGACTCGTCCTGACTTTGGTGATTCTGGATTATCGGTTTTTCCAAATTATAGATCATAAATTTAAATTTGGTAAGATGGCATGCAGAAATTACACAATTAAAAATATGAAACCGCAATTTATGAAATAAAGAGCAATTATGATCTAAAGGGTATCAAATTTTACACACACAAAAAAAAAAAAAAAAAAAAAAAAAAAGCTTAATATTTATTTGTTTACTTTATTAAAAATTTCTTTCAACGCGTGCATAGTTGAAATTAGAAAATTGCAACCAGAAAACTATTTGATGTGTATTCGCGATATTTATAATGACGAGGAATTTGATTTAAATCATATCAAAAACGGAGTACATCGAAATGAAATAACATTAATAAATAAATAAGCCGAATAAAATAAAAACATCTGCCTTGAAGATAAGGATAGTGCTGAGGGATCAACTTCCAGTTCATTGCACGCCGCGATGCCCCCCCCCCCAATCTGCAGAGCAGCGTGAAATTGATAAACAGATTTCGGAATGGTTAGAGAAACAAAGAATATGCCTTTATCCATTTTTTGCAGCAATTAAACTTTGTTTGATGGACATCGAAAATGCTTTCCTTTGTAGATTCTTGGCAGCTCCAGAATCGTAAACTCTTTTTGACATAATCGAAACTTCAAGCTTACTTTTTATAAAATTGCTCTAGCAGTCTGCAAAAAATAATAAGCCGGATCTAATTAGAAGATTAAGGAACAACGCAATCTGCAACATCAACTGAAATAGATAATTAGATAATTTTAGTTTAGCTTATACTGTCTGTTATACATTAAACGCGTATGCGTGAGCGCATTATGCGTTCACGAATGCGCAGGAAGTTTGTAGCTTTGAGGTCCGGTTTGACTGTATACCATTTGGGAACAAAACATTTGTGGCCAGTTGACAGTTGTGTATCATACAATATACTCGCCTGACCAGGTTTGGATTAATCCATACAGGCAACAAAGCATGCAACGACCATTAATCTAACTTCTATTATAACTTTGACCAAAAGAGCACTAAATGATGGGAATCAAGAGAATCTTGCAGCCTTTTCTTTACTTTGATAGCATGACTACAAAGGAGGAGGGAAGGGAAAACTGGAAATTTGCTATCATTTTAGATTTGATTGCTCTTACTAATCATTTGCTTTGTTACACGCAGCTCTAAATATCCAGATCACGTTTTCTTTTGAGGTCATGTAAATTTATACTTGTTAATTTGTAAGTTTTCAGTTGATTTAATTACAATACAAATGATTAAACAACATAGTCTATATTCTAAAGCCCAGTAAATTTATTCGAATGAATAAGTGTGACATATCCATTCAGTAAAAAATAATTTACTAAAAGCCCATAAAGTGTTATACACAAATTTAACTCATTAATATGAATGATATGCCACTATATATCATATGAATCACATGCAAGCATTCAGTAAAATTTCCCCATATGTCATTTAGCAAAAATGGAGTTTCAAGAAAGAATGATCTGATAATAAAACTTTACATCTATGAAACCAATGAATGAAACTTGTATGATTTGAATGACCATGACCCAGAATTTTAAATAACTTGCTAGAATCTGCTTTTGGAACCCAAATAGATGTTAACTTAAATAGTTCATATGAAAGTAATTTATGTTTGCAAATCTAGTAAAATTTCAGCTGTGATAAAGTGCAGTGTGTTTGAACAGCATACACTGAAGAAAAATGAAATCCGAACATCAAGAAATCAGTTTAAAGGAACGAAATGTAGACAAAGCATTTGTCTAAAACCGCTATAGTCACCAAAATGTTGAATGCAAGCATGCAAACATTGTGTCGTAAAGTTGCTATATGCCATTTTGTGGGAATATTCATAAGAAACAACGGCAGTGTCAGAGAGTTTGCAGCATGGCTACCAGCACATTGAACAATTGCCTGCATTCGCGAAGAATTCGAAACCATGGTACTGTTAAAGAAGAGCACAAGAACAGATCCTACTGACAACAAACAGCTGCAAGTCTGGTGTTGCAGCATTTCAACACAATGACTCCAAAAATCAGTGAGCAGGTAATGTGTGGAAAAAAAGTAGGATTAGCCAGTCAAGAATAAGACACATTCTGAAGACTGGAAAGTGTGCATTTCAAGACTACTACATGTGATGAATGAGGATAACACAGACTGAAGAAAGATGGAGTACTGTGAATGGTTTCAGCACATGGTTGGCTAGGATGATGAATTTGCAGGGAAGTTTGTATAGAACAACGAGGTGTAATTCAAACTTAGCGGCACTGTGACATGCCACATTTGTGTCTACTGGGCTTCTGAAATCCTCATGCTCATGTGAACAAGGCAGTGAATCTACTGGGAATTACTGTGTGGTATGGTCCATCAGTACATGTTTTTATTGGTCCCTTCTTCGAGATACGTAACTGGTGAGGTGTATCTTGTTATACTTCAGACAAGGATTTTGCCTGCCACCCAAAACCTGTATGAACCTTTTTACATGCAACAAGACAGAGCACCACTTCACTATCATTGAGATGTCAGGTTGTACCTCAATAAAACTCTACTGGAACAATGGGTGGGTCAAATAGGTGCTGTTCAGTACTCACCTTGGTGTCCTGATTTTAAAACTCTGGACTTCTACCTCTGGGGAACTGCTAAGAATGATGTGTATAGACAAAAACCAGCAACAATCAATGAGCAGCATGAAAAAAATCGTAGAGTAATGTGCCGCCACTACACCAGATACACCTAACAGCTGTAGTTCAGTGTGCAGTTCGGTGCAATGAGTGCTGTACAGAAGCTGCTGGCAATCATTTCAAACACATACCATAATCCTCTCTCAGTTGCAAATCTGTCATATGAAGTCAAATTTGTCACGTGATAGGAATATGGACAGTCAGCACACCCTCTGTATCATTATGACATTTTTGCATTATTTATAAAGTAATAAACTTTCTTTTTCATCTTTCATGTACTTAAAATTCCTGTTTTATTATAAATGTAATTATATATGATGTATTTTATGCAATATATGAAGTAATTGATTATTTTTTCTTCTCTTATGAAAATGAATGATTATATGTATTTTCATGATTACTTTTCACAATAAATTGCTTTCCTTTCATGTTTCATTAATTTCATTTCTTTTTTAATTTACGACTCTTATTTATTCTTCATACTTTGTATTTTTAATCACTGTTACTTTTTAATCTGCTATTAAGCCTCCTCTTTATCAGTATTACAATTTATTTCAAAAATTAAACTTGGAAAAATGTAGGTATTGAAATACTATGATTTTAATTGGTAAGACAATTTTCCATGTTAAAGTACAGTGAACATGAAAATTCATCTTTTATGTGAATGTGAATATTGTGGTAAAATTTTGTGCCACAATATTCACATTCACATAAAAAGAAAAATTTATGTTTTTCATTTTTTACCAAGATATAGGATACCACACTGGTACAACCAAGTTTGTTTGTTCCAAAATGGAATACAGTAAACTCTCCCTACAACGATACCCGATACAACAATAACTCCCTCTACTACAATAATGTTTTGTGGTCCCTGTGATTTTACATATAAACTAATGTTAATCTCCCCTCAATATTGCTATATTCTCTAGAACAATAAACCTCTGTAAAACAATTTTTTCAATCTAAATTTCAGTATTATTTTCTCCCTTTATAATAATATTTTGATTTTCAAATGCTTTCCCCCCCCCCGTTTTCTTTTGTTATTTTTTCCGTCTATTAAGACTCATTGTGGATATTCAACTTATCCCTGAATAAATAGCTATTGTTCAGATTTCAAAATAGATGAAGACCACCCTTTTGGGCATTGGAGTGGGTGAGGGAGGGTGAAGTGTAAATGTATGCCTAGTCTCATTTCTCAGTAAGCTTTGGAATTCTGATAAGGTTTAAGGACATCTAGACCTGTCTGGTCACCTTGTCACAGAACAAGTGCCCTTTGTTGAGGAACAGGGGAGATGGAGGCGGGGTGTTGTTAAGTGACTACTGAAAAGTGAGTTCAAAGGTTGTTTTATAGTCTTTAACGATTTGAGGTCTATGCGAAACCTTTGGTTTAAACTTTTTCTTTCTTTCATGCGATATTGTTCCCTAAGATGGCAGGCAAAGCAACTATCTTTTCGAGATAAACTGAACGTTATCAATAATATGATGAGGGAATGAAGCAGATTGATGCGGCTAAGAAACATGGATTATCGCAATCTACAGTTGCAAACGTTCCTAAAGAAGAGAAAGCAAATTGAAGATGCTGTAACTTCAAATGAAATTAACCCAGAGCGAAAACGACTGAAAGTTGCGACAAATGAAAACATTGATGCTGCTGTTTTTAAATGGTTTTGAAGAGAGAGAGCAACAATGTCCCAATAAATGGACCTTTATTATGTGCAAAAGCACGGAATTTGCAGCAATGCTAGGGAACAAAACTTTCAAAGCTAGCATGGTTGGTTAATGTGTTTTCGAGATCGTCATGGAATAACTTTCCAAGAATTTTACGGAGAGAAAAAGTCAGCCCCGATAAATGACGCAAATGAATGGCGGCAAAACAAGATGAAAGAATCTTAAAAATATGCTCCAGAAGACATTTAATGCAGATGAAGCTGGGCTGTTTTTCCAACTCCTACCCGATCGAACATTGGCATTCAAGGGTGAAAACTGTTATGGAGGGAAGAAATCAAGCAGAGACTGACTGTTCTTCTGTGTACAAATAGCACGGAACGCATAGAATACAACCTCTCGTCATTGGTAAATCATTGAAGCCAAGGTGCTTTAAAACGTGAAAAGTCTTCCCGTGGAGTATAAAGCAATAAGAAGGCTTGGATGACGTCTAAATTTTTTTCCGAATGGTTACAGAAGTTAGACAATGAAATGAAGAAGAGAAAGAAAAAATTCGTTTTGTTGATAGATAACTGCGGTGCTCACACGTCATTTCCAAAGCTATAAAATATCGAAATTGCTTTTTCCCCTGCCAATTGCACTTCAATTTTACAGCCTCTTGATATGGGCATAATTAAGTGCTTCAAAGGATATTACAGAAAACGGTTGGTGGACTCCATACTTGTAAACTTTGAAAATAAAGTAGAAGACCATTTCAAACTGTAAATGTCAAGGAAGCGTGTGACAATATTGCTGGAAGTTGGTGGGAAGTAACAGAAAAACTATTCGAATTGCTGGAAAAGGCCGTTCTTTTTGTTATGGAAGATAAGAAATCTGATAATGAAAAATTCCATAGACAATGATCTCTCAGATGATCAGATGTGTTTTGCACATCAAAAATCCGTATCCCAATTTGAGGAAACAGCGGTAAAAAGTTTGGAATTCGTATAGAAGACTATTAAACAGCAGATATGATCTTTGGTTTTCGCAGGAGTTACTGATGAAGGTATTTCTCTCTGAAATTACTGATGAGATAGGAACAATGAGAAGATGATGATGATAATACAGGTCCATCGCGTCCTATTGTCATCCCAGGAAGCTCTTCAATCTGTGAATTCTCTACGAACATTTTTTTTCAACCTTCCGTCGACAAATGAAAACTTTTCGTGCACTAGACTCAATGCATACAGTATGGTCAACTTAACAGTTAAAAAAATCAATAAAAAACAAAAATATTGGATTATTTTCAATAAAAGTGTTTCAGGTATGTGAATATTTCTGTTTCTGTGCTTATTTTCTGAATTTATCTTATTTATTTATTTTTTTAGTATTTACCACTATATTAGTATTTTAAAATTAATTTCTTTCTAAATATAGACTTAAAAGTAGTATTTATGCACCTTAAACTAATAATATAATAATAAAAAACTCTTATTAAATGCTCAAAATATGTGGGCCCTCGATATAACCATATGCTCTCTACAACAATATATTTATTTGGTCCCTAAAATATTGTTGTAAGGAGGTTTCACTGTATTGCCTCAATTTTGGATAGGTTTGCACACTTTGTTATCCAAGATTTTTCAAACATTACACAGTGTGACTTTGCCATGTGGGGATATGTAAAAGAACATGTCTGCTCCACCATTACTTGTTCACAGAAACAAGCTCAGAAACATAATGATATTGCAGTAAATTTTAGAGCAGGAAACTATTTCTAATGCATTTGGAACAAATTCAGCCATCATCTTACAGGTGGTACAGAGAACACTATGTTTTAGAGATGATAATTATTATAAGTGAAACTTATTAAATAGCTTTTAAAACATAACACATTTTTGCTATTAAATATAATTATCTAAAACCAGTTTTTCTTGCAGACATATAGTTAATAAATAACAAAAGTAGTTCTTCAAAACTAGTTTTGACTATTTCAATTTAAGAAGAAAGAAGAATATTTCTCAATTATATGTTAAACTGAAAGCATTCATTTTAAGCATGAACATTTTTAATGAGTTTAAATACATCAAACTAAACAATTTTCAAATGCTATGCAAAAGATATATGAATTTAAAATAAACATTCTAAAATAAACTTACAAGGAAATTTCTTCTTTACCAAGATGAAATAAAACATCTACCGATGTCAAGCCAAATAGAACACCTTCTATATTTAATATGCAAGGATCTGATGCTAAATATAGTCGCTATAATCAAAGAATATACAATAATAAATTTCTTACATTTGAAAGGGGAGGTAAGATATTTTTATGTTTGAAATCATAGATAAACAACACAAATTTGTAAATATTCAGAATAAAAATGTTTGTCATCGCTGTTCAATAAAGTAGAAGATGAAAACACACAACTTATTAGGGCCTGAGTTGTGCAGATTTTGGTCATAATAATAATAATAAAAATAATAATTTTAAAAAAAAAGAGAGAGAGGAAGGGGGAACAGCAATCAATTCCTTTCTGATATTTTTTCAGGGTTCGTACACATTTCTGCACACGGAAATTAAGTACTTTTAAGGCCCATTAATGAAAAAAATTAAGGACCTATGAGCAAATGGGAACTGAGTAAATTCAATTAAAAATATTATACCTGTGCCTGAACGTGAATAGGATGCATTATTACTAAACATAACTTAATTAACATAATTATTAATATGTTTGAGAATAAAATTAATTTTATGAAATTTATCAAGTAGCATTAAATATTTTCACTTATAATAATGGACATAGTTGAAAGAAGATAGTGACATTTTAACTAACGTTAGCCTTTTTTAATGTCTCATTTTGTCACATACTTGCTCAATCTAAGGTTTAGTAAATAGCAATAGATTTTATGTCAAGCAGCATAGGTTAAATGAGCATTAAATCATAATCAGCATGATTCATAACAAAGACTGGCTATTGACACCACTCCTGCTTGCCTATGAGAACCGCTGATCAGAACAAACCTGAAAGGCCGATTAGGTACATTAAGCAAGTTTGAAAGTTACTGACCTCTGTTTGACGCTGTTAGTGTCGTAGCTTTGTGTAGAGTTCCAGGGGTTGTAACTCATTAATATACTTTAAGGTTAAGCCACTAAAGCATAAGCGGTAATAAATTGTTTTGCATTAAGTCTCAATAGATGCAAAGAATAAGTTTCACATGAATTTTTTTACATTTTGTTTTTAACTTGTGACCACGGTAAATGTTAACAAGTTGACCTGCGCCGAATTTGCTTCCTTTCAGCAGCCCGGCAGGAGCGATCAAGCTGTGCAATTAGTGCCACTTAAATTATTCATAAATTATACAAAAATAAGAACGCACAAAAGTCCAAAAGTATTGTTCGAAATGTTATGATGACAATTCAAAGCTATTTGGATGCAAGATAGATAAAAATGCTACCAAAATAGTTGTTTCGTATTGTAATATGTGTAAAGCTAAGCCGTATTTTTGTTTAGAAAGCTTCAATAAATTTCATTAAAACTACATTTGATTACATTTCATTGAGACTACACTTATTTGTTAACTTTAATACTGTCGTCCCGTGGACCGACGCCAGCCAAACGGAAATTCCAGTGCCTGTCCCCAGGGACCGACACCGTGCTCAGCATGTTAACGAAAGACAATAACTTGCTTTAATATACAGATATAATTTTTTAAAGGAATGCATTTAGATATAATTAAATTAGGCATTAGATAACCTTATTCATTATGGATTTACATGGCCACTATTAATTAAATTATTTTTATAATAATTATTAAAAAACCCTATTAATATCACAATCTCGTAAAGTTCACGTTTAAAATCATCAATTTGACATTGATTACATGTTAGTATAATTACATATTAAAGCGACAAACCTAAAACTCAACAAAATAATATCGTCTTTTTAATTTGACGGCCTGCCCAACCTTTGGCTACTTTATAGCGATTCCTTCTCCTTAAAGCTGTTTTCTAACAAGAAATTGTCTCAATAGCAAAACAATGTTTCTCATTAGTTCTGCGTGTTTTACTGCTACTGCCAACCTCTCACATTCTTCTATGAGAGTTTACTTATCTGGTAAAAATTAAATATCCCCCCTCCTCTGACATAGTGAACCAAATTATCACTATGTCTGAAGTAACGATAATCATAATAATTTAAATAAGTTTTCAAAGTTTCGTATTAAAAAAGAACTAAGAACATATAGCTGTTCTTAACACAAATACATCCAATTTGTTGATAATTAAACAGAAAGTGAATTCAACTAAAATATGGACTAGTGGTAAAAAACTACAATTTAATTCAATTTAATCTGGTTCTAACTATATTGTCATATAACTCAAATTCACAGCAGTTGGGAAGACTAATGCGACATCCTCATATCTGACAACTAATGCAGCGGCAGTGGAGTTCAGAAACACTCTCTTACACTCCAAAAACTCAGTTAACAACGTCTAAGTGATTTGCATGCGTGGAAACAGAAAGCAAATTATTTTTAAACAATGTAAAACATTGTTTAAAACCTGTTACAATTATATGGGTATTACATAATAATAACGTACATACTTTGAAATAATTTTCTTCTCTTTAATATTTTTTTTTTTTTCAACATTTTCCTTTTCACTTTAAATTTTTTATTAATAAAGACTTCTGTTATTCAAAGAAAATGCATTAGAATGTATGGAAAGCTCTTCTATTTTATTTCTTTGAATACGAGCATCAGAAGAAATATGAATCATCTGTGGCTAATCAAGATCTGTGTGGCATAATTTTTAGAACTTAGGGACACACGAGCAAAAAAAATCTAGAAATGGCAAACTTTTAGAATTTAGAGCATCATTGAAAGCAAATTTAGAAAGACCAGGCATCAAATTTAAATCCAAGAACTGCATCAGGTCAAAATGCCGACGCCAGCTCTGTGTAGATGCATAAGACGTCTGAGTGATCTTTTGAAATTTTTCAATTTTTTTATTATTTAAAAAATTGCTTGGTAAATGCCTGTATATATATAAGATTAGAATACTTTTTCTATTTTCCTGCTTTTTATGTGTGAAAGTAGAGAAATAAAGGAAGATAAATATGTTAAAAAGCGATTTTAGATCAGAAGTAAAACATTCAACTATATTTTTCAATGTTCTTCCAGATTTTCTCCAATTAAGACTGCGTTTTACCAGGAGACATTTTTATTTTATCACATTTTTCTGGAATCTTTTATAATCGTGGTCTATAATTGTCTTGAAATCTTTAACTTCCAATCTTCACTGTCTCAAATCCTAAAAATTATCCCTACTAATTCTTAACAGCAAATCCAAAATGTTTTAGAAAAATCGAGGAAAAAAGTGCGCAGTTATTTTATAGAGAACTATGCATATTGTGAAAATTCTGACATCTGAAAAATGGGAAAAATTCTTTTCATGAAAATTAACAAGACATTTTTAATTAATTAATGCTATTTTGCTTTGCTAAAAACTGTGTGTAACTTCTGCTTATAGCATTAATCCTCGCTTATTTTTTCAGATAAAAAAATTGTATAAATGTCCAAAATGGAACTTTATATATGACAGTGAAAAAAATCTTATGTTTATGTCCTTATCTAATATAATTCCTCTCTTACCATTTTTCTAGCTTATCAATGTTGAATGTTCTAAAAATCGTCAAAAATTCCCAGCTCTTGAATAAAAATTTTCTAAAAGATCTTAAAATCGCCAAATGTTTATAATCGCCAAGTTTAGAAACCGTTTAATAAATTTACTCCTCAACAGCAAAAGTTGTTTGAGATTCTTCATTACAAACATGAACTAATTTTTAATGCTGTTTCACTTCTTGCTCAGAAATTCGAGCATCCCCATATGATTTATATAACGAATAGGAACGAATTATAACTCGAACCTTCAAAAAATAGCATATTTGTCAGTGAAGCGCCAAATATTCTCAAAAGCTAATTCACACCCAAAATGGCAGTCGTAAAAACAGAAAGAAATTTTAAGGACCAAAAATCGATTCCAAAAAACTTAAGGACTCTTAAGGACCGTACAAACCCTGTTTTTATAAAGAAATACATATTAAATGCAAATTTATGTAAAAAATTAGGATGAAATGCACATAAAAATTACTTTAAACATTTTTTGAATGTTTGTGAACAGTAGTTTAAAATTTTAACATGTTCTAGTCTGAGTCATTGTTTCCTTTCAATTATATAGTTTTACTGTATTAAATTTCTTTTTACACTATTACTAGCAGGAAAGTCATCAGTTTATTTAGCACTTGTAATTCTTACACGATGAAAAAATACTATTTTTAATTGTAATAGAAGTTAAAAGAACAGTTGTCTGTAACAGGGTTCGTACACATTTCTGCACACGGAAATTAAGGAC